GATTTCCTTAAAAATTAATGAGAATTCCCCATGAGACAAAACATCACCCCAAACAATTTCCCAGATCTAAGTAGCCTAAAGAAAGGTCTTCATATGATAAAAAATTCTTCCTCCTTCTTCCATCATGTATTCCCTCTCTTCTTCTTGTCTACCACCCAAACAATTCCTAAAGTTGGGAAGTCATTTAAAAAATTATTCTCAGTTCATTGAAAAAAGAATGATATTTTTCTTTTATATAGAAAGAATTTTATCTAAGGCATATCATGTTAAGTAAATAAACAGGCATAATAAAATCACCAACTTGTAAATGTATATTGTTATATGAATTTGAACATGAGTCAGATATAAAAGATACCAAGATATATATCTTCTCTCAGCAGATTTCCTATCTTACTTTGCATATTGGAATACGGTCTATTTTACAGTATGTGGCTATCAAACAGCTTATTTAGACTAGATCAGAGGTCAGCAACTTTTTCTTAAAGGGCTAATAGTAAATAGTTCTGGTTTCAGGGACCAAAATTGTCTCTGTTTTTAAGTATCTCTGCCAATAGTGTGAAAGCAGCCATAAGTACCTTGTGAACAAATGGGCGTGGCTGTGTTTCAATAAAACTTTATTTACAAAAGCAGGCTGCAAGTTGGATTTAGCTTGAGGTCCATAGTTTGCTGACCCCTAGACTACATAGTATTTTGTTTGAGCGGGTGAAGAGAGTCAAATCTGAATGTAGTTGAAGTGGAGTCTGAAATACAGCCTACTACCCTACTGCCCCCCTGATTTGGCATATATTAATACAACTTTAGTTTTTTATTGAGGGTCAGACACTAAATCCAGAAACCATATAATTACATTACAGATTAAGATTCAGTGAAAGACAGTTGCCTTTTCCCTCTCCCAAGATGACTTAGTTTCTAAAGGTGAAGATGGCCTGATTATTCATGACTTTTCCTTTATAATGTTTGAGGCTGTATTTTGGTAGCCACATGCTGCCATGTATTGCATTTGGTTGTGTGTCTATTTCTTTTACTTGGTAGTGAGGTTTTTTTGAGTTCAGAGGACCTTTTGCTAGCTGTGTAGTCTTGGACAAATTGCCTAACCTCCTTTATACCTCAGCTTTTTTATATGTAATATCAGGATTGTAAGAGTTAATTTCTTCATGAGTTACTACAAAAATTAAACATGATCATGCTTGTAAAACACTTAGTGTTCACATGCTTATTACACATTATCTATTAGTATTATTATTACTCTTAACAATTTTTTCTTTATTGTTAATTTCCCATAGCACTACTCAATGTGAAGAAGATAGCAAATAAATTTTCCTGGGAGGTTGAATCTTATGAAATTGCTGACATTCAACTATTTTTGACCAACAAAATGGCAATTTTAAACAGTTCAATGTAATAGAATATAATAATTTACATGGAAGAATACGCACATGATAAAATGAACCTGTAGATTAGTCTTAAGGGTTAGTTAAGATATAAGTCTTTCCAATTATTTTCTCTCCAGGATATATAACATATCATCCAATAATAAAGTATATCAAATTAGGCTTCCTATTCAGGTCTTTGGTGTTAGGGTTGGTATCATTACTGTGATAACAGCAGCATCTCTGTAGAGCGATGAATGCCTATTTGAGTGTTTAGAATAGAAACATAAATTATATAAACTGATGCCTCGCTCGCTCTAATTTAGCTTTGCATGAAGTGTGATTCTGAAGTGATTTAATATCTTGGGGTAGTGTGAATATTACATATTTATGTTATATATATTACCTACATAGAATCAGAAAATGACTTTTTTTCCTTTTTTTCTTTTTCTTTTTTTTTTTTTGTACAAAATATCTCAGCTTCTGTTTGTTGTGGAAGAAGGGGAGCAAGGAACATATGGATATAATGAATAATTTTATATTTTCTCTCGCTCATTATAACCTCCAGAAAATATTCTAAATGGTCTAATTCTGCCACGCAGATAAAGTATGTAAAATAGAGAGTTTAGGAATAATTCTGCTTTGAGGTTGACTTGAAAGAAACAAGAATAAAACTAAATTAAATTATCATATACACAAATGTATGCAAGAAATGAATTGATAGTAGCTACCTGTTTTTACATAAGGCTAAAAATTTAAGTATAGATGAAGTTTTAAATTAGCAACAATCATTTGGTTAATATTAAGGCTGAAAAAATATACAAATTATTGGATTTTAGTTGACCTAGTCAGCTACTGAAACTTAAC